ACTGCTTGTGCATCTGAGAAGAGATTCAATATCAATTATCAGACCAATAGCCAATCTTATACAACATAATAAATTAAGAAATTTCAATTGCATACTAAATCCACTAAAGTCTCGTGTCTCTTTTCGCCATAGCTTACATCAGCCAAAACTCAAACCCAATGCTAAATTGCTATGCTATGGATTCATGAATTTTCAATGTCTCTAGACTAGCTCCAAGAGAAAATATCATTTCTTAAACCAGTCTCACATGTTCCAAACTCTCCAACTACCAAATATACTGAAATCCACAAGGAATTCTCTTTGAATCTTTGTTCCAAAAACTCAAGGCAATGTAGAGAAGAAATTCTATCCATATCTCTCAGATTGTAGCTAAGAAGAAAAAGTGTCGCCTACTTCCAATCCAATAAACATTATCATCCACTTAGTGGGACAATGTTGACATGTCTCTTAGACTTAAAAAACAGACACAAAACCCACCAACCAATCACCAAGTTTCAAGTAAGGAAAATCCAAACAGAACATACCTACTTTCAACCTTCATCACAAAAATTAAAAACAAAGGATTTCAAACTTAGAAAGTGCCACTTGTATACAAATGCAAAACAGAACATAAAAAACTCATATACGCAAAAGGAAAAATATAACCATCTGCCATCTTCATGCCAAGAATGTAATAAAACATTCAAACATTAAATACACCATTCTTTATAAACAAAAGCAAAAAAATACCCATTTTCCATCTTCATCTCAAAAATCTAATAAATCTTTCAAACCTTAAATGCACCATCTGATCTCAGAAGGTTGTAAACCATTCAAACCTTAAAATTCACATTCACATGTGAACAGAAGACCATAGATTCAAGAAAAAAATATGAGAACCACCATTCCAACCTTGTAGTGTCACCATTCATAATTTTATATACCAACACAACCAATACATAGACAGGATATTCACCAAACACAAAACATACCATTCAGAACTTAAAATGTACCATTCATAAACACCAAAATAAAACACACCCATCTTCATTTTCAATCCAGGAATGCATCACTCACGAATACCAGAAAACAAAAATACTCAGTTTCTCTCTTCATCCTAATAATGCAACAAAGCAACCCCACCATTCACACAGATAAAAAAACACCACACAAATACAACCAAAAACTGATCAACCCAAATTCTCACAAAACCAACATGCACACACATTTTCCACATCTACATTACACACATTACATATACAAATAATCAGAACAAAAACATACCCAGCGACAAGGCGACAACCGGCCTCGTACCTTTGCTGAAGCCGACCTGTACGGGCCACCAAATCCGACATAATATTATTGAAAATTCTCAAAA